ATATATATATACGAGTATATATTGATATAAACTGTGGGATTGTGGACATAGGGCTTAACCAACATATCTTACATATGAGACAAGTGATGTTCATCGTGCCGCTCCTGATGACGATCCATTGGCTTGACTTTCCCAGGGCTGATAGATGAGATGCCAGGAATTTTTAACGTAGACTTTTGTTGCCTTTCTACAGAAATTTAAATAAAGTTACAAATAGGAGATACATATATGGCACAGTTAATGATATAAGATAATTATTTTTCATATTTTTCGAATTGTTGATCTGTTTCGAAGTAGAGTTTACTGCACAACAAACAAAAGTGTACACAATTAATCATGAAAGATTTTAAAATATTACGAAATAATTAGCTCCATCTAAACTTACAAAGCTGTTGGCAGTCTGACGAGAATGCACGCTTATTACTTAATTGCGATTGTGATGCCTTGGTTATTCCATCTCCGCATCGTTCCTTCGATATGTAGAAACACTTTGGAAAGAGCAAAATCGGCAAAATTTTTTTGTATCTTCAAAATGTTGTATATCTTCTACAAAATTTAAAATAAAGCTGAAAATGTTATCATACATAAAAATGTAAGATTAATTCGTGCGAAGCAACTTTAATTTATTACATTATAAGCAATTAATTACATTTTTAAATAATATTTTTATATGGAGGGTTGTAAATAATTTAATTTAATTTAATTTAATTTAATTTAGTTTATTGTAAAGCTATATGAAAAAAACGTGTTAACAGAGTAATAGACATAAAATATGATGCAATAGACTATAGTTAACATAAATATAAATACAATAGGCAATTGTAGCTTGCAAATGGTTAGGCATCAGCAATATTACTGTTACAAAGCCTACTAGTAACAAAACCAAAATAAAACATAAGAGGGAAACTAAAGGCTAGAATCATACATACACACACATACGAGGTCTGTTCAAAAAGTATCGCGAATTTTGTGTTTTTTCAAAAATTATTTATTTATTCATGAATATCTATTTTGTCCCCTTCAAAGTAATCCCCATCAGATATTATACACTTGTGCCAACGTTTTTTCCAATCCTCGAAGCACTTCAAAAAATTATTTTTTGTGATCTTGTTCAGCTCCTCCTTCGATGCCGTCTTTATCTCCTCAATCGTAGCGTAGCGTCGTCCTTTCATGAGCCTCTTCAGTTTCGGGAACAAGAAAAAGTCACAGGGGACCAGATCTGGGGAATACGGTGGCTGCGGCATCATTAGTGTGTTGTTTTTGGTCAAAAATTCGCGCACAAGCAACGATGTGTGAGCAGGGGCGTTATCATGGTGCAAAAGCCAATTTTTGTTCTTCCACAAATCCGGGCGTTTCTGGCGGATTGCTTCGCGCAAATTGCGCATAACTTGCAGGTAATATTCCTTATTGACCGTTCCGATTGGCCAATACTATTTTCTTCACTTCATCAATGTTTTCGTCTGTTGTTAACGTGCTCGGGCGTCCGGCCCGCTCTTCGTCGTTCACATCTTCTCGGCCCTCTGAGAACATTTTGTACCACCGATAAACGTTGCTTCGGTCCAAGGTAGCTTCACCATATGCCACAGTCAACATTCGGAATACGTCCGCGCACTTAATTTTGTTTTTCACACAAAATTTGATACAGATTCTTTGATCCATTTTTTGGAATAGACAAAAATCGAAGACGAGCCAAAACACGTGCAAGCAAAGCAGCTGTCAAAAATTAACTGAACATTCAAAATGGCCGAACTTGTCGGCATAAGTGAGAGACATGAGTAGCAACATAACGCCACAAAAAAATCGAAAATCGAATATACGTAACCCGCGGAAATTCAAAATTCGCGATACTTTTTGAACAGACCTCGTATATATATATCCATCCACATACACACCCATACACTCACTTACATACACACACGCGCATACACCCGTAAACACACTAATTACATAAGTCTCGTTTAAATACTGTGAGTAACACAATGAAACACGAGGCAGCGGAACGAAAAGAGGGTAGAGAGGGAGAAGTTTTTATTGAATCAGAAAGGGAATTATAAAATGTTTGACAGAGGTGTAGGAGAAAGCGGCACGGAACTTAGTGGACCGATATATGGGGAAAAATAAGTAATTTTGGTATCTGGTGACAAGAAGGTTAAAAGAGGAATGCTCAACTGAGTTCAACTGAAGGAGACGTCGCAGATATAAAAGAGTATTGGAGCGAAGGAGGGAAAATACAAGACAGCACAGATGTAGAATAAAATATTGCCAAATTTTAAGCCAGCCAGATCTCTGGTAATACCAAGATATAAGGTTATATTTACGGACACAATAGGAGAAGCGGAGACAAAAATTTTGGACGCTGTACACGATTTAGCAGATGTTGATTAAGAGCAGGAACATAGACAACATCAGCGTCAAATAGAGAAATATTAGGTTGTTCGGAAAGTAATTTCGTTTTTCCCCAACAGAGGACTTATTGTATTTTTTCACAGCCAACTTCACACTTAAGCCGCATAATCATTATATATTTTGACAGCTGATATAGCAAGGCTTGCTTGTGAAAAAAGTTCGATTGATTCTACGCAGTAGTTTTTGGTTGGTGCCCTATCAAATATGAAAGTGAAAAGCAGCATTTTCGGCATATTTTACTTTTTTACTATCGAAAAGGTAAAAATGCTGTTCAAGCAAGAAAAAATTATCCGATGTGTATGGAGAAAATGTATTGACAGAACGCCAGTGCCAAAATTGCCTGGTTTGCAAAATTTCGATCCGGCAATTTTGATGTTGAAGATGCACCACGTTCTGGAAGGCCAGTTGAAGCTGATGAAGACACAATAAAGGCATTAATTGATGCAAACCGGCGAATAACAACTCGTGAGATCGCTGAGAGATTAAATTTATCGAATTCAACCGTTCATGATCATTTGAAACGCGTCTGATTGAAAATCGTCTTTCATTTTCATAAGAAAAAACGAAATTACTTTCCGAACAACTTAGCAAGTAATTGAGAGGTGAGGAGTTTTTGAGAGCAGGAAAGAATATGGTGAAGGGGATAAAGAAGACGTAAACGAGCATAAGTAGCCCGGTACTTGACGGCTACGTGTAACTCGAATGACCATGAAGAGTCAACATGGACACCAAGAATCTTAATAGTGGAGGAGCGAGGAATTGGAATAGAATTAAGAGAAATGTCAAAGGACTGAATACGGGATAACAATATTGAAGAACCGACAATTAGCAAGGATGACGTAGAAGGCTTTAGATGCAGGGCATTATTAGTAGACTATTCGGCGATAGATCTTAAGTCTGTATTCAAAGCAGAACAGGTTGCTAAAACATCAAATGAGTGAAAGGATTTGAGAAGAATTACGTCATCTACATGAAGAGCTCAGAGGACAGAGAAACATTAGATAAATCAGAGACAAAAATCTTAAAGAGTAAGTGTTCGAGAATGGAACCCTGGGAAACACCAGAGAGAATGGGTAGATGAATGAGTAGATGAAAAAAGAGGAAAAGGATTATATACTTGCTGGAGGACTTGCTGTGTGTGGTTTGTAAGGTACGAGCAGATTAGCGAGAGAGAGCAGGATGGGAAAGACCGCATAACTTCAGTTTATCTAAAAGTAGATCATGACTGACGGTATCGAAAGCCTTTGTGAAGTCCAGCGCAATGATGGAAGTAAGGCGACAGTTGTCGAAATTACGAAACACGACGTCAGAGATGTGAAGCAATTCCGTCGTCATGCTGTGAGATCGACGAAAACCAGACTGACAGGAGGGAAGGATATTAGAATTGGAGACAAAAGCATTAAGCTGTGAGAAGCAGATATACTCAAGCAGCTTTAAGAGGAAAGGGGGGAGCGAGATAGGGCGAAAATATGAAGGAGAAGAGGTGTTATCAGTTTTAGGAATGGGAAGAACAATTGAGTGTTTCCAGGAGCAGGAAAAGGTACTGTGAGAGAGGGAGAAATTTAACATATAGAAAAGAGGATCAAGAGGAAGGCACAGTAGCATGGGATCGGAAAGATCAAGAGGTTCAGCGGAAGTCAAGTAAATGCGCTTAAAA